GGTGTTGAGCGGGAAAAAAATATAACTCCCCGCCAGATTGCAGAACTAGGAATCGTCCACTACCCACCTTTTTCTCCTGGTTTCCCACGTTATCATTTAGTTATTATTTATTTTTCATTTAATTTTCGTTTGGCTGAAATACCACCTTTTCTACTGGGTTCCCACGTTATTCTTTCGCCTACCCGCAGGACAGGAGGAGAATCAGTTTCCATCGGAAAATTCTGGTAAGAGGGCGTCACGGTTTCGTGTTCAGCGGAGGAAGGCGCTGACGGCCGGCTGTTGTTGAGTTCATGGGAAGACGACCAGACGTTTTGGTGGTCAGTGGCGGAAAGCAGTGACGGCCCGCTTCTGCTGCGACTGAGGAGATCGCGTTTGGGAGTGCAGCGAACTATCTCTGTGGCGAAGAGGTTGTCGACGATCGAGGCTTTCCCTTCCGGCGAGAAGCACAACTACTGCCGCCGCCACCACCGTCTCCCCCGCCGCCACGAACCCTGCTTCTTCTTTCTTCTCTGCTTCAGCATCTAGAAGGTCGCTACAAATCGCTCCAGCTACTCGCATCCGTTGAGGAGCCATCGCCGCTGGGCTCGACGCAGCTGCTGCGGCCACTGCCGCCATCAGCGAAGCGCTCATCATCCCCTTCTTCTCCCACCCGCTGTCGTTTTTTCTGTTTCCTTCCGCCGAGCACTTCACCACTCTCCCTCTCTTCGCCATCGACGGCAGCCCTGCATATCACCCAATCGATTCAATTTCTTGGTTCCCCCAAGCTGAATTGATAAAAGCCAGAGGTAATTGTGAATTTCAGGGGAGGGGGCGTCAAGAGTACTCACCGAGAACTGGAGCGGAGGAAACCCCTAGAGAGGGGTTGCGACGGAGAGATGCATGGATGAAGGAAGAAGCTGTGGTTTTGGCGGAGACGGACGCCATTTTTCACACTCTGACCCTGGGAAGGAAGGAAGGAAGGGATTAGGACGGTAGCTGGTTCTGTGAGAAACTACTGGAAGTAGTGAGCTTTGCAGAGGTGATATAATTTGCACAGCTTAATACTGACCATAGAATTTGCCCCCATCACAAAGTTCCATGCTAAGTTACTCTCCTTATTGGATCTTTTAGTTGTGTATAATTCTTGGTTTCGTGATATGGTATTGGAGATATGAGCAGGTGAGGTTTGGAATGGACCAGAGCATTAGCAGCAGTTGGTTGTGAGATGGTATGTGTAAAATGGAATCATGGTAATTACTTGGCTCTACTCATATAGGTAGGCTATATTTGAACCTCAAGGGAAGAATTCTCTTGCCACTTTTTAAGCTTTTTGTTTAGGTTTCCAACGTCAATGTGTGCCTGCTTTATGTCAACATAATCAAGCTTAATTGAAAGCAATAATTCCCACTTTGTTCACTCAATTTTTCTGTGTTTCACGGCTTTCTTATCTAACTTTTTTGTTTCTAAATTGCCTCTATGTTGGATATAACTTGCAGTTTAGGCTATGTAATCGACAACTAATGATTTAATCCATGACCTTCGGAAGAACGGTTTGAGTTTACATTTTCCTTATGTCATTAGTTCTTATAAGTAATTTATTGAGTTCTTATGCTAATGTACGGTCTCTTTTTTCTTTTTTTCCTTTAGTAGTTTGGTCCAAGAAATCATGTGATCATTGATTTTTTCTTTAAGATCACTGGGTTCATCGATTTAGTTTGCCAATCAAGCATTTAACCTTCGTTTAGTTCCTAATTGAGAGCGTAAGATCATTTGTATAATAATAGTACATGCCTCCGATACTGTGTTAAGATGGAACTGAAATGAGTTGGATGTAATGTCTTTGTTTGGTCCACTTTTATTCAGTGTTCAAGAAGACGCGATTAATCTCTCGCCTAGGCGCGATTAATAGCTGGGCAGGAGGAAATCGCCCAGTCTAGCTCTGGGCGATTGATCTAGGCACCTGGGCACTCGGAGACGCGTTTTCACTTTGGTGGGCGACGCCCAGAACAATTAATAAAGGGGAAATTGTAGCCTTTTTGTGAAAATCCCAAACCCTATTCTATTTCCCCTTTCCACCCGCTCTGTAGCCTCCCCGAGAACCTGCCCAATCCTCCTGGAAGATTGATCAATCTGCACTCGCATTTGCCGGATTTGGTAGGCTAACTGGGTTGTCGGCGCCAATAGTCTCTCGAAGGCCCAGAGGTTTCTATTTTACCGTAGTTGCCAACAGAAAGTAGCGAAGAGGGATGCGTCTATCGGTCTATGGTATTAATAGTCATCTTTATCACTATGCTTTTCATTTTATTTGTTGCTTCTAATTATAATGATCAACAGATACGTCAATAAAATATGTGATCGCGTTGACCTATGAATCAATTTGGAATTGTGCAAGTTGTTGAAAATAAACATTATTTCAAGAGACATTGTTTTATGCAGGTATAACAGCTCCATTCTCTACTAGCAAAAGCAAAGTCGATCATTTGCCTGGAGGGAGGGAAACATCTTTGGGAATCTTCTTGAAATTCCCCGACTTTTATTGTTGATCATCTGACCTTCCAAAAATAGCGATGAGCATAATGTAATTGTCCATTGTTTTGCAAGAGGATAATAGATTACCAACTAATTCACTAATAATTCTTGAGCTTTACGGATGGTATTCTTTTTAATTAATTTTCTTTAGTATAGTTATTTATTGTTGTAAATTTTCACTTCATAATGTTAGTATACGTGTAACTATAAACATAATTGTTGAAAGCGTACTAATATTTGTGGATACTCGAAACCTAATATGCTATGAAATAGGTGGCAGACACAAGGACTGTCGTAAATTTAGCATATGTTATACTATCGAGCTAAAAGCCGAGCACAAAGCTAAAAATTTGAATCCTTTATTTGATAAATTTTTATCCCTCCAAATTACTAATAGGGAAAATCCCTTGGAGTTTATAATTAATACTTCAATGCTTAATTATTTTATTTTCATGGATATAATAGAAAAAACAAGTGAATAATATCAAATTTTATGAAGAAATATTTTTTGAGTAATTTATTATAACAATAGGAAGTGATTTTTTTCTTAGATGTAAAAAATATATAGACAACAGTAAGCGATAGCATTATCAATACAAATACTTATAAACTAACTAATGTTACAATCAATAATTCGTACAAATATTAGTTTCAGCCCACTAATAAATTATTTAGACGATCCCAAATTATTTGAAAATATGAAAAAATAGATTAATATAAAAATATAATAAATAAAACTAAATTCATCCGACCAACGGGTCGGGTAAAAAGCTAGTATATTTGTATGGCTGAACTTTGCTCATAATAAACATCCTGATCAATTTTTTCGATTTATAACATCATGGCCCAAACTATACATCAAAGTTACGAAATTGGCCAAACTTGATGTTTGACCGTTATCTTGGACGGTCAAACACGTTGATTAACGGTCAACACGCCACGTCATTGCCAAGTCAGCACCTTCCACTTAAATTTTTTATATTTTCCAGCTATTATCATTTTCTTTTTCATTTTGAACAAAAAAATAAATAAAGGAAAAAGTAATATCGGGTCCCTTATATCTCTCATAATTTTTAAATAATGTTTTATTAAAAACATTTCCACCATTTATTTCCACTAATTCAAATTAAACTTCCACATAATACCCATTTTCGAATTTTTCACAAATATGAATAAATAATATCAAAATTAAAAAATTTCCACCATTTATATTCACTAATTTCAAATTTTCAGCATAATACCTATTTTCAAAATTTCAAAAAATATGAATAAAGAAATCAAATAAATAAATTTACATTTTTTTAAAAATAAATCAAAACTGAAAATAATAAAAATAATAAAAAATAAAAATGGAAATAAAAAATTTCCCATAATTTATTTCACTAATTTCAAATTAATTTTCCACATAATATTTATCTTCAATTTTACACAAATATGAACAAAGAATCAAAAAATGGAAAAAAGTATAATAAAAAATGAAAATTTAAAAAATTACACCATTTATTTTCAATAATTTCTATTTACTTTTTCCAAAAATACCCATTTTTTAATTTTTATTTAAATTATTGTATTTTTAAATAAAATATCAATTTTTATATAAAAAAATTAAGTGAAAGGTGCTGACTTGGCAGTGATATGGCACGTTGACCGTTTGTCAGCGCGTTTGACCGTCCAAGATAACAGTCAAACATCGATTTTGGCCGATTTCATAACTTTGATGTATAATTTGGACCATGATGTTATAGATCGAAAAGATTGGTCAGAATGTTTATTATAGGCAAAGTTCAGGTTATACAAATATACTAACCCGAATTATTTCAGAGTCGAAATGGTTGTGGAATCTGTAGTATTCGTCTAATGACGTTCAAAGTCGCGTTGTGGCAATTAGAATTCATATACATGAATCTATCTATGAATTAAATTAATGAATTTTTTCTAGAAATATCACTAAATTTTTTTCCAAAAATACCATCTATTTTCGAAAATTTTCAAAGACATCATCATTTCTCGAAAGTTGCTATTTGGAAAGCTGACAACTGCCAGAATTTGGCCAAGGCAGAAAGCGTGTTCGTGAAGCCTACACGATGGTATGCTTGTTAGCCCGAGTGAAAGTACAGAAGGTCATTTTCCATACCTCTAAAGTTGCTATTTGGAAAGCTGACAACAGCCAGAATTTGGCCAAGGCAGAAAGCGTGTTCGTGAAGCCTACTTTAGAGCTCAATTCGAGAAGCATGGTTGATATTCGAGTCAGGATCTTCATACCATATGAAATTAAATATGTTTATCTACAATGACAAGGAATTGGATGAAGAATTGCATACCTAGATTCATCATCGAGTTCAAACTTTAAATTTAACAGAACTCCAATCCATTCTAAATTATATTAAACTCAATTTATTTATTTGTTTATTTTATAGGTCCAACCCAGGCTCAGGCCCAGTCAGTTCCCACCCCATATTTTCATCTTCTAGAAAACGGCCCAGGTCCAGTACACTCCTCCTTCCTTCTTGCCCGCGGGACAAGAAAACGATCTGCATATTTTCCCCTCTTTCCCTCTTCTCCGACGACATTCCGTTCTCTACACCAATTCATCAAATCCTCCGTTTTCTGCGTCGCCGCCGGGACATCGTCGACCAGAACTCGCTCTCCTCATTGAAGCTACTTTCAGTCTAACAGAAGGTGCTTCTGATTCTCCGATCTTCCTATCTCCTCTGAAACCACCTCGCACTAGCTTTTCTAGGGTTTTTCATCTGCAAATTTAGTTGCTCTCCCCTCCAATTGGATTCGCATTCCTAGATACGGCAATTTCTTATATTTTGTTGTAGGGGTTCTGAATCGTATAAAATGTTGTTCGCTCACTTGATTTCGCAGATCATGAAGCTTGACACGACTGGTCTCGAGTCGGCTCTGCCGCTGTTCGGTGCGAACTGCCAGATGGTCGATGGATTCACCGCTGCTCCAGCTTTTGAACTTCCCACAACTCTTGATGTAAGCTCTCAATTTTTTTAGCTTCATGTTCTTCAGCGCTTGTGCTTTGTGGGAAAGATTCAGTTCTGAACTGTGTCTTTTGGGTTTTCAGTTCGATGGTTTCCAGAAGGAGGCTATACAGATGGTGAAGCCGGCAAAGGGTACAACCACGCTGGCTTTCATCTTCAAGGAAGGTGTCATGGTGGCTGCGGATTCTCGAGCCAGCATGGGAGGCTATATCTGTACGTCTCAGTTCTGCTATTTCTTCAAGCTGTTATTATTATGAATTCTATTATGATGTGAATACACTCTTATGTTTCAGTTTTTTGCTTTGGTACTCTCGTAACTTGGCTGAATACACTCTTATGTTTGTTCTTTCCAGCTTCTCAATCTGTGAAGAAGATCATCGAAATCAATCCTTACATGCTTGGTACCATGGCTGGTGGAGCTGCCGACTGTCAGTTCTGGCACAGAAATCTTGGCATTAAGGTATCATGTGCTTTTGGATGTTATGCTTAATACAAGTTCATGAGTAGTTGAATTACTAATTTGTCTTGGACTGGAATGAGGTAATGAGATTGTCTGGATTCTGGAATACCCATTTAAGCGTGGAATTTAGGCACTGAATCAATTTATTGTCAAATGCTATATGCTGGTTATGAAATATATTTGTTTGGTTTCTTTGTTTATTGAAAGGATCCAACTTCAGGTATAGGGGCCGAAGTAGAGTAAATAAGCTTATTTGCTAGAGTAGAACAATCCCTTGCAATTGTTGTATGTAGGATTCCTCTTATTTGCAGCGCAGTATAGTTCCTTGTAGTTCTTTTGGCTGACATTTGTTGTAAGGGTCGATATCCTTATCATGTGAAGCTAATCCCACTCTTTTTGGCATGACTTAGTGCCGTCTGCATGAGTTGGCAAACAAGAGGAGGATTTCTGTCACTGGGGCATCGAAGCTCCTTGCTAACATACTCTACTCTTACCGTGGAATGGGTCTCTCAGTTGGGACTATGATTGCTGGATGGGATGAAACAGTAATGATCCATTCAAATACTCTGTTGATCTTGTGAAAGTTCTTTGCGGAACTGTATAAGCTGAGGAACTCTTTGAAATGCAGGGTCCGGGTCTATATTATGTAGATAGTGAAGGAGGAAGGCTGAAAGGACCAAGATTCTCTGTTGGATCTGGTTCCCCATATGCTTATGGTGTGTTGGACAGCGGGTAAGTGTTGTTGTTTCTCAGCCTACTCATTTATTTCTTTCCCTTTTATTTTTCTATGAGATTTGTGATTGTTTTGGTTTCGTTAAACTGAATCCAAAAAACAAGTATTTGTGAACCTGAATGCAAAAAGAGTATTTGGTACACAGATAGCAATATTTGGCTCTGGATAACCGAGCTTGTGAAAGTAAAAACTGAGCCAAAATGCTAGTGAAGGTTGAAGAACAGCAGTAGTTTAAGCATAAAACTCAAATTTGTATAATTCAATTAATAAGCCATTTAAATTCCAGTAAATGTATTTAGCGATTTCTAGTACATTTCGTCAAGAGACGACGGCCTTTGGCTTCAATAAATGTTGGGTAAGATGGTTTGGTTTCCGTTTCCATTTAATGACAAATCAGAAATACATTTTTCCTGTCCCAAAATGTGTGACAAATACAGTTCTAAGTGCTTACTCGTGGAAATAGATTATGGACTGAATATGACTGAGAGAAAGATGGATGTTGTTTAACAATGCTGTACAAAAAATTTGAACTCTCATCAGGTATCGGTATGATATGTCAATCGAAGAAGCCGCGGAGCTAGCTAGAAGAGCTATATACCATGCAACATTCCGTGATGGAGCCAGTGGTGGAGTTGCCAGCGGTAACCTTTCCTTCTCTCCCTTAACATACAACACTCGGCGTATACCTCGTTCATTGCTCTTTTCATGAGGCTGATTCATTTTACCTTCACTTACAGTTTATCACGTGGGTCCGAATGGATGGAAGAAGCTATCCGGAGACGACGTCGGTGAATTGCACTACAAGTACTACCCGGTTACGCCCAGCACTGTGGAGCAGGAAATGGTTGAAGTATCTGCGGCATGAGGTCCTGCGTTATATAAGAGCAAACTGAAATGGGTTTAGTTCGCCATGGATCCATCTAGCTGAGATATTGCAAACTATGGGATAGATCTTGTATCAGATTTATGGTTTTTCTTGCCAATGTTAAGGTATTCTGCCCTCCTGTTTCCAGTTCTGCGTTAACATGTTGCGAATAATTGTTGAACTTGATTTGAGACAGCTTATCCTCCTTCCTCCATAGTTTCTCGCTCGCATGCATGTGGATTGGTTTGGCCTTCAGTTGTTGAGCGTTGAGTTAATCTTAGTTAGAAATGACAATTGAAAAAAGAAATCCCCCAACATCCCCATTCACTGTAGCCCAAGAGACCTTTTACTGTGCTTAGTGACTCATAATTACTGTTTCGACTGGGAAGGGGCTCGGGTGTGGGTGGGCGCATGGTGGATCTCTTTGGCTCCTAACGAGATCTTTGTAGTTCGGCTGCTTTAGAGCTATGGTTTGCCTTCTGGTTGGCTTTCCTCTCCGTCCGCCTCACACGCATTGGTCACTCGGCAAACCAGAGAGAAAGCTATTGCTACTTTAGGGTTCACTTTTTGTTTGACGTGACCAGAGCTGCAGAGATGAGATTGCTGAGTGTCATTCGTGAGAACAGTATGCGCCTTGAGAAACACGCCGTCGCGCTGCTCAATGCACACACAGAGGCGAAAGAGTCTACTATCTACTTTTGCTCTGTACTTTCTTTCTCAGCCACATATATTTCCTTTATTCAAAAAAGAAAGCAACTCTCCCTCTCTCTTTATGTCCAGTTTAGAATAGAAAGCATCCCTCCATTTGGTCCCTCAATTCTCCTCTTTTGAAACTCTCTCTTCCCATCTCGCTCCTGGATCTGTTACTGCACAGATTGAGCCAAACTTTGTTGTTCTTCAATTCACTACTCGAGCATCGTCATCTAGGTCGCAGGTGCTGGACCACCAGCTGGTGGATGAGGTAGTCGCGAGAATCCCTCTCTCCCATGGACGCGAAGCTTTGGATCATAGAATCTCATTTTCCTCTATTTCAGGTCGGTACAACGATTTCTTCCTTTCTGTGTTGTCTTCGAGCCGGTCGTGGTCTTGTGGGCTATAAGTGTGTTGCGAACACCTTCTCTGTTTTTGTGGGTTTTAGGTTTGTTTTGCTCCTACCTGAAGTTGACAGATCTATTCTTTGCCATTGCTTTTGATTTCCCATATGGTATTCGACGCCAAGAGAAAGATCTGGGATTTCAGATAAGGAAGTGGGAACATCGAACAACTTTTGTACGAGTACTCTGCAATAGACTGCGAAAGGATTCTCTATGCTTCCTTCCATGGCAAGAAGCTTGGTTCGGTTCCTGCTTCATGACTTTATGAATCCATCCTTTTATATCCCTCTTCTTAAAGATTTGTAGTCTTTTCTAATGCACTTGCTCATATTATTCTTGCCAGGATTTTGACGGCTCGGGATGTTGATAATCAAACGAGAATCTGCATACATTTCTCTCAAGAATTTTGGAGGGTTCAAAGATGGATCTGTCATCCGTTGAAGGTTCAATGATGACGTGGGTGACCGAAATCTCGCAGCGACCAAGGTATTGATGTATTCACTCTCTTTATATTTATATTCTTCTTACTTCAATTTTGTGTGGGACTTTTTCAACGTTTAAAGCTTCTTTTGCTTTCAATGACCAGTGCCGGAGTTACCGTAGCTACCGCGGAAAGAATAGACGAGCTATCATAGGTAAATGGTTTTCAGATATTAACATCTGATGAAGGTTGTGAAAAGGTTGTCGCAATCCAGGTCAGTTCTTCCATCCTTTTGATGAGTAAGGCGATATCGTCCCGGGTTAATGAACTTCCATAATCGCCAAGAATCCCTTCAGTAAGTCATCTCGATTCTTTGTTATTTGTTTATTTTTTGCGCGTATCTAACTATTTTCGTCATCTTCTCTGATCTGTGAAGTGGGCGACGGGAGTATCGGGTTTCAATCAACATATATTTCTGCTGCTGATGTCATGACGATGTGTAGGACGATGAACCCAAATCAACTAAATAGATTGGGAAGTTGTCTCTTTGATAGATAACGCAGACATAATAGTTTGGATACATACAGCTCTCTGGTGGTCGACATGAGTGAGAGGCAAAGAGAGAATCTTGAGTGACCAAGCACCTCCAACCTGAAGCCAATTTGGGACATTACAGCAATGGGGAAGTTAAGGATTTGTAACTCAATCAATATGTTTTCTTTTCACTTTTGCTCTCACGAATTACATGATTTGATATTTGTTTGATAAGTATTTAATTTATGTTCTTTTTCTGTTTAGTGTTACGTTTCTGTATTTTTTCACTCTTCTTTCTATCTGATCTTGCAGGACAAGCTGTTGTTTGGAGTCTGGTATCTAACCAACTTGCCTAGACTCTTAAATTCCTTTTATGATGACTGTACACGGTTTACAACTGCTGAAGATTTTTGCATGATCCACCATGGGGTAAGAAATGGAATTAGTCCACCTTTATCATGTACTTGAATCAAAGATACAAGGAACTGTCGCGCAATCTCTGTTGAGTGATGTTTGCCTAGCCATTGAAGATTCTGCTGTCCTAGGATTTCTTCGTGAGATTTGGACTTTTGAGTTGTGTGCAGTTCTATGATCAAACTCTAGGTAGTAACTGAAATCATATGACTTGAGGATTGAATTAAATCAGAGTTACCGTATTGCTTAGGTTCTCTTAATGTAGCAATGATGCCTTCATGGACACCATTATATAGTTCACTTTCATTCTCTCTTATGCTAGCACATTTGTTGTTGCAAACAGAATGGAAGTTCAGCAAAGTTGAGGGTGGGGAGAGGCCTTTCAACCAAGTCCATCCATAATAGACATTTGACACTTTACAGTACACTTGTGCTCTTTTAAATTCCTGTTTGTAGTAGGCAACACAGGATTTGCTCTTTTTATTTCTTCTTTCTTTTGCAGGTGAAGGATCTTCTTCAAGTGTGAAGTTGTTGGTTATTGAACTATGTTTGTATGGTGATGAACGTTGGCCATTAGTGTCTTTGCTTACAATGCTCCTTTGCTTGATGTGTGTTCGGATCTTTTTCCAGGAAAGTTGGGGGTTTTCTGCTTTTTCTGACAGACTGCTATTTTTACAGTCTATGTTGTCTCCAAGAACAAGTGCTATTTGGAATGTGTATAATCTGTGTATGTGAATTGTGTTGTCAAATGCGATGTGTTTAGTTTTTGAATAATGTATGTACTTCGAATAAACTAACCTCAATTATTAGCCATTATGTAATCATAAAACATATCCAATAAAATGCCATTTAGTTCATTAAAGTCCCAGCGCGAAGCGCGGGCATGAAAACTAGTTTTGAATAATTCACCCAGACCATTGGCCACCTTATGGGCAGGTATACGTAATCCTAAAACAATCGACTTGTTCGCGTGTGGCGTATAATGTTCATGATGGATTTTACAATGCTTAGAAGATTGAATTTGTATCATCATCATAATATTAAAGTACATGTGCGGGTATTATTACATATCAATTTGTACCTCTATTTTTGTTACTGTACACTTTCTGTCGTTTTGGGTTTTGCTGTGTTTAGGTGGAAAATGTATTGGAATGATGGATTGGTAGATTAATCAATAAATCCAAATGACATTTAAATCTTGGACCAATATGTAAATTTTGAAAAGTTTATGTTCTAAAATGTCATAATGAACAATTTATAGGTACCAAATTGTAATTTTTCAATGATATTTTTCGTATAAAAAAATAAACTTTAGGCACTAAAATATAAAATATAAAAAGTATATGTACTAAATCGTAATTTCTATCCACCAATCCAATTGTATTTAAATGGATTGGATTAGTTGGATAATTTGGTAGATGGATTGAATTAGATTCATGGATAGAATCCTAATTGCCACCTCTAACTAGGGCTAACTATTTGGTCTGGGTTTCTAGTTTAACCGGAAACCGAACCGCATAACCCTAGCCTTTTAAGACCGAGATCGGCATGTAACCGTCGTTGGTCCCAGAATTAGCTAAAAACCTGAACCAATCAAGTCTGGATTAAAACTGTGTCAAAACCAGAAGACCGGCTAACTCAAAAACTGACCTAGATGTAAAGCCTGCCCCGACCTAGAGACAAAGCCCACCAGGGCCCAAGTGAGTCCACCACCCCGAGGTCTGAGCCAGCCTTGAGCCTTCTGCCCCCCAGGCCCCAGCCTTCGTCCGCCCTTCTAGGGTTAGGCAGAGGCGGATTCCCTGGCCTCCACGCCTCCAATCCATTTCCCATTTTTCGCAAACAACAACCGAGCCCTATTACCCTAACCCTGAAAGGGTGTCCATAACTACTAATTGTTGGACTTCTTGTCATAGTTTCAACTATATGTGCATCACTGCACACTTTGTTGGGAAGGATATTGGAAGTTGTACAAGTAGGTGATAAGTTTTTTGCAAAATTGCAAGTCATAATGGAATTCATCTAGGTGATGCAATAGCCGGTTAATTGTGAGCGATGGTTTAGAAGAGATGGGCATGTCAATAAGGAGGGTGAGAGAGGTTAGATCATCACCTTCTAGATTGGCAAAGTTGAAGGAGTGTGTGGAATTTCACAACATTGAATCCAAGAAGATGTTGTGTCTAGATGTGCGTACAAGGTGAAATTCCACCTACTTCATGTTTGAAGTTGTTGTGTTGTTTGAATATGCGTTTTCTAGTCTTCAGAGGAAGGATAAGGATTACAAGCCCAAGCTTAATACAAAGAGGTACAAGAATCAAGAAATTGGTGTCCCTCAACATGAGGATTGGAAGAATGCAAAAGCTTTGATGAAGTATTTGAAATTCTTTCATGATGTGACTTTGATTGCATCCATTACTTCTGTTGTGACTGCTCATCGATTTTTGAGAGAGTTCGCAAAATCTATCATGTTGACAAATGATGAACATCACGGATGATGACATAGTAAGGATGGGTATGAAGATGAAGATGAAGGCGGTTGACAAGTATTGGTCGGAGAAGGATTGTGTCAACTTAAGATTGAAAATGTTGGTTTACATGGATGTGGTGTTTGATCTGAGGCATAAGATTAACTATCAGGATCATATTTTAAAGAAGGTGTGTTGAGAGGCTAGGGCAAAAGTCTTTGAGACAGAGTTGAATGATGAACTTGAGAAGTTGTTTGAATATTACCATAGTAAGATGCCTCCTCCTGCTCCATCTTCATCTTCTCCAAAACGTCGAGTACAAGTTTCCACTTCAAGTTGACGAATGATTATGATGTTGATGATGATTATAAAAGACCTCAAGGTGGCCATACTAATACTAAGCTGGAGAAGTATCTCCGTCAATTTGAATATTACCATAGTAAGATGCCTCCTCCTGCTCCATCTTCATCTTCTCCAAAACGTCGACTAAAAGTTTCCACTTCAAGTTGACGGAGGGTAACTAGTGATGCTGATAAATCTAATGTTGATGATGATTATAAAAGACCTCAAGGTGGCCATACTAAGACTAAGCTGGAGAAGTATCTTGCTCATCCTCCAGAAGACGATGATGCCAAAGAAAACTTTGATGTGTTGAAGTGGTGGAAGACTAATGATATGAGGTATCCCATCTTGAGTGAGATCACAAATAATCTATTTGCTATTCATATGTCTACCGTTCCTTCAGAGTCCGTTTTAACACAAGTGGGTGTGTAACACATGACTTTATGAGCTCTTTGCATCCTAAGATTGTGGGAAATCTCATATCTTGGCTTAGATAAAGTTCTAGTATGTTTGTGGAGCATGTTGATGCTGATGATGACTATGAAGATCAAGAAGACTTTGGGAGTGGTAAGTACATCACTTTATTATAGTATTTAGTTTTGACAATGTAAATGCTATTGCTGACCATTATATTTTTTTATTTATGTCATTTAGTTTACAATGCTATTATGGTGGACGAAGAGGAAAGGCGTGAACGTGAGCATGTAAGTGGACATGAAGGTACAAGTACGAGCAATATCGGAGGGAGTGATATGTTTGGCTCGAGGAGTGGAACAAATCAAGGATGCAGATCTAATGCTTCATATGTTTCTTGAATCTAAAGAGTAGAAATGGTTTGGTGAACTTGTTAGATTGGAGTGGATTTGGTGTTTAATGTCAAAAACTTTGGTTGTGATGCACTTTATTTTTATTTTCAAGTTTGAATTGGACTTTGATTTTGTATTAGACAGTAATGAAGCTTGTAATTTTGCAATGTTTGGCATTTTTTTTATTGTACAAATGATTTACAAACACGTTGTTTACATTTCGAAAAAAGGGTTATATGCTACTGAATTTTTTGCAGCAGGGTCGGATCAGGTCAAAACCAAATTGGGACCAAATAGGGTCAAAACCAGATTGAGACTAGACCGGGTCAAAACCGAACTGTACCCGATCCAATATTTGGTTCTCATATTTCCAAAAAAAAAAAAAAAACGGAGTCAATCCAGACCATTTTAACCGGACTGGACCGGATAGCCACCCCTACCTCTAACTGTGCTGATTACCGATAGACAAGTTCCATGATCCAGCACTTCCCTTGAACACTACACAAAGCAGAAAGGTTCTGCAGATATGCAAAAATACAATACGTGCGGATAATAATAATACACCCACTCAAGTCTGCATTATGTCGTATTTCTCAAGGATGGATTTATAGACCTATGATGGTTCTCACACGAATAATGATGGTTTTTAGGTTGTTTTCTCGACTTCACATGATGGCTTTTATACTGGGCCGAATGTTTGAAGTCATTATTGAGTTGAATTGTCATTTCTCGGAATCACCAAAATAATTCCAGCCGTAGGTCTAATCTAAACTAAACATTAAGGTGTTATTCAGATGCACAATCAATCATGTAAGAAGATATCAAGTTACTCAAATGAACATACGGCAAAGAAACGAATTCAAAACGATTAAGTTGAAATGAATACGGTATATGATGAAAGAATAAAAGCAATTCATCTCGATACAGCTTTAAATAAGAACACAAAAAAACACTATAAGACTAAGGGTGTAAGCAATGCAATCAAAATCATAATTCTATGAGGAAGCATTTTGGTGAGCTAAAAACGTAAAATCATAAGTTTTTTAAACTTTAAACCGCAGATTTTGATAAAAATTGTAAGTGAAAAACGTAATTTCTATATAATTTTTTTTGATGACTTATAAATGTAAGTTTTTAATTTAAAACACTATTTTAACTAAATTGACTGTATACTTTCCTCTTTTGACGCAGGAAACATAGATTTGATGATCATCTCACTTTCCACAATCGTACAGGCCATTACCTACAGGAAACACCAACCAATAATAATACGAAGGAGATGGAAGAGTTGGACCATATTTCCTTCCCCCTTTTCTCTCACTTATTAATCTCCTTTCTCTCTTCCTTTCTTTCTTTGTCAATGTGTTAGCTTCTAAGTATGGTTTCATGATTGAAATAGAAAATACATAATCACCATTCCGTTGTTCCTCTTCCTTTTTCTTTCCCACTAAATCATTATCAAACCATAGGACTATAATTAAAAGACGTCTACCCACTCCATATATGAAGATTATAACCAACGTTATTGTTTCCACTCTTTATTTGTAGTTCTTACTTAAAATTAAATGTTCAATATTAGGCCGTAAGAATTCGAACCCAATACTTATAGATCATAACATGTTTCGATACTAAACGAAAGAAATACTGGTTAATTAAAATAACTCAAATATTCCGAAAGAGGTTTTTGAATGAATTTTATGTTATTGCCTTAATGCTATTTATTAAATTATTTAAATTATATTTAATTTTTAGGTACGGGGAGGTGGAAATTAGTGCTGGTAGTTGCATGAAAGTGATTTCTTGGATCTCAAACATACACAAACGAACAAATAGTCAAACAGTTGATTTAATTTCCTTTAGTAAGTAGTAACTCACTTTGTCTAGATCTGTTGTACTAGACTTAATTATCAATGGGAAATTATATTATTACATGTTTAATTGTTCTACTTTCTATTAAACCCGACTTGTTTATTGGAATATCCTTTTTTTTCTCCTTCTTATATAATGGGATTTAGTGAATTTTTACCAAGAATTGTACTTCAAAAAAACTAGACTATAATTATAAAAGAAACTAGTGAAGGGAAATTGTGAAAGTATATTTATGAAAAATAGTTCATAACATCATGTTTTATAAACAGTTTCAGTGTTTATAACAGGTTCATTTATATGATAGTAACTATCAACTTCAAAAATATCCTCCATTTAGAGTGCTTTTTTAGTACGGTCGGTGTGGCTGTGCCCTTCTGATTAGGGGTGCAAATGAGCCGAGTCGAGTCGAGTCGAGTTTTACCCCAGTTTGAGCTCGGCTCGTTAATAAACGAGTCGAGCTCAGCTCATTTAT